CCAGGGCCCTCGCGGTGCCACCTCACGGCAGCGCCAGGCCAGGCGAGGACACCCATAGGGGCGATGCTGGCTTACACCAGTGACTTTTGATGGCCTCTCTGTTTCTCTTTCAGCCCAAGCTGCTGTTTGGGCCCTGGGGAGGTGGGGTGCAGGGCACCCCCATGCTCCGTGCCCTGGCACAGCTGCCATGGAAACAGACTAGCCCAGGCCCTGGTTTAATGGCTGGCCGTTGGCCATCATAACAAGCCCCCTGTGGAAAAAGGCAGATTTTGCCAGGCCGGTTCTGGCCCCCGGAGACAGTAAATCCCAGCTGGCGCCCATGGGGGACGCTGGGGTCATCTCCCCGGGTCAGGGCCAGCCAGTGGGTCTGGTGCACGAATGAAGCAGGGAGGAGGATCTGCTGTAGGGACGCTGCCCTCTGGGCCAGAAAGGCCTCAGCTCCCCTGCAACGGCTGCTCTGCCCAAGCACAGTGCCTGTCCCTGGGTGCCCGAAAGCTTTTATCGGGCAGGGCCTCTGCGCTGCACGCCCTTCCCCCCCACGACGGCGCGCTCAGCCGCGAGCACCCGTGTGCGGCTCTGGGGCCTGATGCCTTCCCAGCCCCATTTCCCACAGCCCCCGGGGGACTCTGTCTGTTTGGGAAGTGAGGGGCGGGGGAGGAAACAGCTGAAAAGCAGCTACAGGACTTCCAGCGTCAGAGCGTCTTCCCAATGGACGGAGGCCCCCCAGGGAACCAACCAGCAACAGGCTGGGGCCGGGAGAAAGCTCCTGGCCGGCCTTCCCAGGACAGGTCTGAGAGGCCTTTGCTATCTTTAGGGTCCTTCTCCCCCTCGGTTCCCAGCTCCAAGCAGTTCAACAGGAAATAAAGGCAGTGAGGTCACCTCCACTGCATCTGCCTGGGCCAGAGAGCTCAGCTCAGCGTGCCTGGCCGGCCAGCCATGCCGGGGTAAGCAGCTGCAGCCTCAGCCGCCAGAGCCCCGCATGGGCTGGCGCAGGTGGAGCCAACTTCTCTTGCACCTGCAGCTCTGCCAAAACCAGGCAGCCCAGTCCCGTCCGTCAGCCCCCCTGGACAATCTTGGCCTGTCCATGTTAAACTCCTGCCAGATGGGGGTGGGGGGGGGCTGAGCTCATCAAACTCATGTCACCTGTGAGCTGAGCCAGGATTGGAAAGCGGATCTCCAGCTGACACCTGCACCCCCAGCACCCTCCCCCTCGTTGTACCTGGGCCCCGAAACACCCGGAAAGCCTGGATGCACAGCCCAACAATCATAGACTCCTACGGCCGGAAGAGACCTCACGCCACCACATCCAACCCCCTGCCCCGAGCTCCAAGCAGGACCAAGCCCAACTCAATCAGCCCAGCTGGGCTTGGTCAAGCCGGGACTTAAAAACCTGACGGCCCTGGGGAGCAGCTCCGGGAAGAGCCCTGGGCCCTGCCGCCAGCTGCTGCTCGAGGGGAAAAGCTGCTGCTGGAAGTCAGCACTGAGGGGACAGGGAGTGAGAAGTGGGGACAGGGGGACGGCGTCCCATAACGGCAGGGCAGTGTGGCTGGCCGGGAGGGCCAGGGCTGCAAAGACCATGGACTGGAGGAGCCAGGGAGGGGAACGCTTCTGGACAAAGGCGTGAGAGCCACAGAAGGCCTCTGGGCCACGGAGCAGGGATTCTGCTGTGGCGACTGTGCCCGGGAAGAGGCGGCACTGGGGGACTGGTCAGGCACGAGCAACCCAGAGCAGGGATCCCCTCCCTCTTTTCCAGGGACCCCACCCGGACACAGGCACGACCCATGGCCGGGTGCCCAAGAGAAGCAGCCGCGTTGAGGAAGCATTTCGAGTCCTGTCTCTGCAGCTGGGCGCGGAGCTGAGAACGCAGCACCGGGAAGCCTTCAGGGAGCCCAGCGGTGGCTGAGGGGGGG